GGGGACACAGCTCCTTCCTCTCCTCCTGGGAGCACAGATTGGCCATTCCCACAGATGCTGAGCGTCAAGAGCCCAGGAGACAGAAGGACAGGGAGCAGACATGGCACTCCTGGCAGAGGTGGGCTGGCATGAGATGCCAGGCAGAGGGGAAGAAAGAGGAAGGGTTGGGGCTCTTCCGGGGGACTCAAAACCGCAAAAGTGAGGGCCAGACAGGGAGCAGTCAGAGGTAGAGCTGTGGGGCCCTGTGGGATGCAGCCTCCCTGTGCTGGACACGGTGTACAGTGCCCCAGTGCCACACGCCTTGCTCAGGGTGTGCCTCGCCCTGCAGAAACCAGCCCAGGTCCTGCCACACAGGGTCTGCCCACGCAGGACGGCGGACTGGGGGACACCTGAGATCGAGGCGGACACGTGTGAGTCACCACCGGTTTCACTGGCCATGGGTGCGAGGAGGACATGGTGCGCAGGCCCACACTGTCCCCGATGGCAGTCTCATGGCCAGGAACTGGGGAGCAGAAACTCCTTCCTGGTGGGTCTGCGGGAAGACTCCCCCATTGTGGTGCCCTCCCGCACAGGGATGGCTCCAGGGGTCCCTCACTCCAGAACAAAAGCGACGTGAAAGGTGCTCCAAGACTCCCTAACCTGCACAAGCCCCCTTGGCACCATCAGCAGGCAGTGGGCAGCAGAGTAGGTGTGAGGCTCCTCAGAAGGTCTGCATACCTGGGGCAAGAGGTCACCTCTGCGCCCACCCCACCAGGCCAGCAGAGACAGTGCCCCAGGGAGAGCAGCCAGCAGCCTGTGGGTGCTCACACCCACCTGTCTGTCACCGAGGAGACAAAGGACAGGAGGCTGGTGGAGGGTGGAGTCCTATTACAGAGGGCCGGGGTCCAGGGGACATAAAGGCCCTGAGGCGCCGCCCAGCAGAACCCCAGCGCTGTGGCCCTGCACCTGCCCATATCCTGGTAACGCTTCCCTGGGGGAGCCCAGTCCACATGGGAGGGGCCGCAGCAGGAGAAGAGGGCAGACCCGGGCCCCTGATGGGCAGGTCTCTGTGGGGGTGGCAGGGGGGCTTAATAGAAGGGCGGAGAGGGTCAGGGGCTCAGGGGCTTGGCAGTCCATCACGCTCAAAGATAGTGCTGCATGTGCCTGTATGTTCCTAGCACCTGGCAGCGTGTGGGGCCCCTGCCGGTGTCCCCATATGCAACTCGCTCTTTATCTGACCTGGGCTGAATCGCTGCGTGCCTGCCACAACCCCGTTGGGCACCAGTGCCACCTCCACCGGCGACTGGCCGTGGCCTGTGGCTGGCCAGGGCCTCAGATGGAACAGGCGACGAGCCTGGGACCTGGCGAGGGACAAAGAGCAGTGACCTTGCAGCAGGCTTGGCAGGTAGAAAGCGAGCTCGGAGCACAGAGCCAGCAATCATTGCAGGGTCTGTAGAGGCCACCGCAGCCTGCGACGCCAGGGCCAGCAGACAGCGGAGGGGGCGGGGCCGGAGCTGGGGGCGAGCAGGCAGCGAGGGCCAGGTCGATGCTCCAGGTCGTGGGTGCCCATGTGTTTCTGCGGTGCTGGGTTTAAATCCCGAGCCTACTCGCGGAGCCGCATCCCAGGCCAAGTTCTATTTTGAAACAGGCTCCACCTACATCGCCCAAATGCGTCGGAACTTGGCCTTGCTCCTGCCTCGGCCTCCGAAAGCTGGGCTCACGCAGGCGCTCCCTTATACCGCCGCCTCGCTCTGAGTGTCCAGGCTTCGCCCCGGGGTCCAGGCTGCCCCTTAGAGCGCCACACAGCGCACTGCGTCCCTGGGGCGCGGACCCGGGCATCCGCGGTCGGGTCACGTAACCGCTGCCCCCCCCCCCCGTGTCACTCGACCGCCCTCTCCCTCCGCAGGCGGCGGCCCTGCGCTGCGCGTGCGCGCTGATGCTCAGCTGCCTGGCGGCCCTGCCGCTGCAGCCCTCGGGCGCACTCGGTGCGGAGCTGCAAGTGCCCGAGACCCCCGAGCCCAGAGCAGCCGGCTGGTTCTCCAACTTCGGCCCAGTCAGCAAGTACATGGAGAAGTTATTCGGCGGCAGGTGGGCCGCCGGGGCTCCGGGGGGCGGGGGCGCCAGGCACCCCATGCGCGTGCAACCGGGACCCACGCAGACGCGTCTTCCCCAGCTCAAAGAAACCCAAACACCAGAAGAAGCCGGCGATGGCCACGAGCGCCACGAGCCCCCCGAATCCCCCGCCGCGGAAGGCCCTGGAGCTCGGGCCCCTGCTGCCGCCCCGGGGCCCGGGCTAGGACGCACGGACTCACGACGGCGAAGGAGCCCGGCCCGCGCCCCCTCCCGACCTCGCCCGGCTCCGGCCCCTCCCGGCCCGCGAGAGCAATAAAGAGGCTGGAGAGCGCGGCCAAGGCGGCTTCTGCGGGGACACGGGTCTCCCGCCCCCCGGCGCTCCAGGCGACGCCGGCCGCCGCTGTAGAGAGGGCGCTTGGCGCTGTGCCAGCTGGTGGGCAACCGGGAGGGGACCCTGATGTCCTCCTGGAGAGGATCTGTTCTCTTCGCATCGCAGACCCACGCCGTCCGCGAGGATGAGATCCCAGCCCGGGGGTACCCACCGCGGTCTGGAGACGAACCACATCCCGGGGTCCCTCTGGCTCTGTGCAGGGTGCTGAGCCGGAAGAGAAGACCCCACCAGCCACCAGCCCACAGCCCCGCGGGCACGCGCCTGGATCGCGCTCCCTGCCTGCTGTGACTATCCCCTGTTCCCAGGAGGCCCAGCTCCAAGAGAGAGGAGAGAGGCAGACACACCCACTCGCACGCTGCACACCACGCCAGGCTCACACGCGCTGCTCAGGGTGCCTGATGCACAGGCCACGGGCATCAGCCCACGGAGCTGGAGTGTGGAGCCCGCCTGGTCTCTCGTAGTAGTTGCACCTCAGGGGCACCCATGCCAGTCTTGAGAAAAGAAAGCCAGGCCCAAGGAGCACCCCTGGGTCTGCTGTTGGTCAGGAAGGCCCGCAACCCGTACCCACCCTTCCCTGCCTCGCTGGCTGCCCCGAGCCCCTCTTGAAGCTGCTCCCTCTGAAGCGAAGAGGAGCCCCTCCCCAGAGGCAGAGACCCAGACGACCCAGACGCAGGCTGCTGCCGGTCGACTTGCTTTATTGGGGGCGTGGGGGGGTAGGGGGCAGGAGGAGACACAAGACTTGGGCACTGTGGGGGGGCGGTGCCTGAGGTTGCTCATCCTCGGACTCTGCTTCTTGTGGCACTGACCGGTGCCCTTGTCTCCCTCTTAGCTGTGGGCAGCTGGGCCAACAGGAGGCGATGGAACCCACCTGGGGCTGTCGCAAAGGCCAGTGGGTCCTGCTCGGCACTCTTCCCATATCTGGGGGAGAAGGCACTGGGTGGGTGCTGTGCCCTTTTGCTCTGAAACACTGACCTCCCTGCTGCCCCGGGGTGACCCTTGGGAGCTGGGGTGGGCAAGGCCAGAATCCCAGGGAGCCAGGCCCTGCGCCCACCTCAGTCGGGTCAGCATGTTGATGTGTCTGCGCATCTCGGCTGCATACTGAGCCATCTGCTCTGGCGTCGCATCGTCCCCGGGGTACACGGGCTCCAGTGGGGCTCCCTGGGCTCCCGGAGGCGGTGGCAGCAGGGCCATGCAGGTGCACAGGAGCAGCAGCAGCAGCGGGCAGCAGCGGGCAGCAACCATCTAAGGGATAGCATGGGACAGCCGCCCGAGCCACCCCAGTCGGCACAGGACACAGGGCACAGTGCAGAGGGGGCCCCATGCCCAGCCCCTCCACACTGCCTGAGAGCAAAGCCTTACCAGACCCTGAGAGCGGCCAGGGCCAGGCAGGAAGGGAGCCAGGGGCTCTGCACACCCACAGGGTGGCACAGAAGGGCCTGGGAGCAGGGGACAGCAGCTGTGGCTGCAGAGCAAGCCCAGGAAGGACCCGAGTTCCCAGAGCCCAGGGAAGGCTGAGCCCACTCACCTTGAGTCCTGAGCAAGCAGGTGTAGGCAGAGGTACTTCACGCAGGTGGGCCCCCGCTCAGCCGCCTGCACTTTATAGTCCCTAGCCCCCTGTGCCCGCCCCATGGCCTCTCCTGCCCAGCATGTGCCCTCCCCACTCACCATATCCCTGGCACCTGCAGCACCCCAGCCAGAGGGGAGGGGCCAGGCAGGGCCTACCTGCCTGCCGAACCAGCTGCTTAATAGTGACCACCGTGGTCACCAGCCCTTCCGCATGGCCCCCAGGGCAGCCAGAGCCCCACTAGGGGCAGGCAGGAAAGCAGCCGAGACCACGCAGTTTGGACAAGTTTCCAGAGCAGGTTCTGGAGTGGCCTGTTCTGCCCCTGGGTCAGCTCAAGGCCTCAGCCAGAGTGCTGCAGCCTGGCACTTGGTGGGTGAAGGGTGGGGGCCCAGGCCCCCTGCTTGGGGTGTATTAGTGCTGGTGAGGGTGGGAAGCTCCTCGTGGGGAGGGTCAGGGGCCTACACATGGGGTACAGGGTGCACTGTAAGTGTGGATTGCCTGGGCACAGGGAAGAGATGCTGCTGTCTGGTCACCACCTGCCCTCCCGTGCCAGGGGAGGGATCCGGCATGCGGGTGCAGCCTGGGTTCCCTGCAGCGCTCCCCTCTCAGCCTTGCAGCAGCCCGGAGCCAGGGCTTGAGAAAAAAGTAACTGGAAAAGTTCGGTGCTTCTTTCCCACAATCAGCCATCGCAGCGGCACTGCCGTGAGCTCTTCCTTGGCCTGGAGGTGCCAGGCTGCCAGGCTGGACTGGTGGCACACACCTGTGAGCCCAGCGCTGGGAGGCTGAGGCAGGAGGAGCACAAGCCGAAGCCCAGCTTTGGCAACTCAGTGACTTGGCGAAAAGGCCCTGGGGCTGTGGGTCAGTGCTGAGCATCAGCCCAGCTCGCACCAGGCCTGGGGCTCTGTCCCCAGTGCTGCAGGGGACGGGATAGAAGAAGCAGGCCCACCGAGGTGGGCTGCTTGTGCAGGGCTCCCTGCTGCCTCAGTTTCCCCTCTGGCTCTTTTCCCCTGCAGCATCCCTTCTCCCGACCTGGACACACACAGCAGGGCTGTGGGACCTGAGGAGCCCTGTCCCCAAGCTCCCCTGTCTCAGAGCTGAGTGCCAAGAGGTGCTGGGGGGACCAGTGGGGACTGTTCCCTGCCACGGAGGCCAAGGTCACGGGCCAGGAATGGACGGGAGCTGGGGTCCTTTGGCTTGGCCGTCCTCTCTGCTGCCATGCTCTGGTCAGTAGAAGCCACGGTGTGTGCCAGTCCCCTCATCCTGTCACCCCAACACCCAGCACAAAACAGCTCAGCTCCAGTCCTCGCAGAGACGCGATGTTCCCCTCAGCAGAGGCAGAGGCCACCAGGGGGCGCCGGGCAATAGGGCATTGTGCTCTGGGGCAGCCCGCAGATTCCTAAATCCCGCCCCGCCTTACTGGGGATCTAACTCAGGACTTCATGTTTGCCAGGCAGGCACTTATACCACTGAGCTATCTCCCCAGCACGTCACGGGGACTGGGAAAGAGGTTGAGGCTGTGGGCATCCTCCTCTTCCTCCCCCCTGCCCTGGGCAGTGGCCCCGAGCCACAGCCCCGGCCCTTCATAAGTGTTTCTATTCTGAAATGGTCTTCCTCAGTTACCCTAACTGAGCTTAGTCGTGTGACCCTCCCGCCTTGGCCTCCAAGAGACACCACACGTGCTGGGACTGTGTGCCCTAACTGGCCAAGCCACGTCCAGAAGACAGGGACAGCCCTCACCTGCCCTCATGGCCCCTGGGTCTGTGCGGAGCCCCTCGGGGCAGGCGTCCATGGTGCTAGGTAACCAGGAGGCAGCCACTGCAGCCTTGTGGGCAGAAGTGGAGCCGTGGACGCCCTCTCAGAGCCCGTTCAGAAACTCACAGCTACAACCTCCGCGTCCAACCCACGCCACGGCGCGAGCCTACAGAGCTGCCTCCTCCCTTCCTCAGCGCTGGCCCTCCCAGTGCCAGGCACATTGGTGACTGACCCCCTCAGTCAGGGACAGGAGGCCAGGACAGGCAGACCAGAGAGCCTGGATGTGGGTCGCATGAAGGCACGTGGGAAAGCCTCCCACCATCACCCGGGCACGGGTGTCAGCCATGTCCCAGGGCCAAGGGAGCCACCACAGAGGGAAGCACTGCTCTGTGAGGAGGCGAAGGCCGGGGTGGGGCCAGAAGCTGCTCACAGAAAGGCTGAGAAGGGAGAGGACCCCGACACTCTGGAGGCTGAGGCAGAAAGATCCCCTTAGGTTACATAGTGAGTTCAAGGCTGGCCAGGACTGCATAGGGAGACCCTGTCTCAAAAAAAAAAAAAAAAAAAAAATCGAGAAGGGGAAGGACAGGCCTTGGTTGCTGTGAGCTTGCGGCCATTGTCATCCAGGACTGTGCCCCACATCCTTCCTGCACCCCCACAGCCTGGTGGAGAGGCCAGAGTTCACCTGAGGTCGGTCAGGATGCAGGTTCCCGGGGCTGGCCAGGTGCTGGGAGGTCACAGCAGACACCTACACTGTGCCTGCCCATCCATGGGTCCCTTCTGCCAAAGGGGTCTGACCTAACTTGGCCAACGATTGAGTCTCAGATTGGGGCACAGCTAGGGAGGGAAGGCCATGTGATTGCCCTATCTCAGCTCCCCAGAGACCGGGGTGCAGGCCAGTAGTGACCCCACATACCCTCACCCAGCCCCTCCAAGCTGCTCAAGCTAGCATGGGACACATCAGGAATGTGGGGCCCAGGCCCCAGCTAAGCCTCCTCCACCGTAGGGATGCCACACCCCAAATCCAGTGTGACTGTTGTCTTTACTGGGGGATATGGTGCTCTAGAACTTGACAGGCACCGAGGGAGGGGTGGGAAGCCCCCGAGGCCGTGGAGGTCCCAACCCTGCTGCCCTGATCGGAGCTGTCCTTGAGATACCCTGCTGCTTTTGTGGCAGCCTAAGAAAATCATCCCACTAGTTCCAGCTCCTCTGGTGGGTTTTTGTTTTGTTTTGTTTTGTTGGTTTTTTGAAATTTTTTTTGGTACCAGGGATCAAACTTGGAAAGTTGCACTTGCCAGGCAGGTGCTTATATCACTGAGCTATCTCTCTGGCCCCGTGTTTTGTGCTTTCATAGAGAGCACATTTGTGTAACTTCTATGACCGGATATGGCTATGAGTCGTCCGTCGGTTAGCACTGTCCACCTTTTTGTGTTTATTGTTTGCTTATTCATTGAGACCAGGTCTGGGGATGTAGTTCAGGATGGCCTTGACCTGACCATATAGCCCAAGCTGGCCTTGCATTTGCAGGGACCCTCCTGCCTTAGCCTCCCAAGTGGTGGAATTGCAGGCGTTCACTACCACACCCAAGCTGGGCCTAATAAATAAATTAAAACTTTCTCGGGGGCCAGGGATAGAGCTCAGTGGCATAAGTGCCTGCCTGGCAAGTGTAAGGTCCTGAGTTCAATCCCTGGTACCTCAAAAAAAAAAAAAAAAAAACTTTCTCATAGATGTGTGTGAGTTGGGGAGACTATACACTTTATACCATACCCCAGGGGACCGCCTCTCCTAGGCCCTCAGGGACATACCTGTGGAGCCTGACCCCATGACCCTGGACAATGTGGGCATCCCAGTGGGGTCCGGCCAGCAGGTAACCTCTGACTGTGGTGACCCCATGGTCCAGCCAGCCCTGACCAGAACAAACCCAGGAATCACCCAGGAAAGTGATGGCTGTTTCATGCCATGCCCCTCAGGGTAATGTGCCCCGGGAGGGGCAAGCGCCTGGCCCCAGGCCCTGTGCCTACCTGGCCAGAGCCCCAGATCCCCCGAAGCTGCCTCGCTTCACAGTGGGCAGCAAAGCTGGTCACACCAGCGCCATACCAGCAGCAGCAGGGGGGACAGCCAAGACCCCTCCTTTGGTGGCCTCGGGTCAGCTGCTCAACACTCAAGTGTCACTTGCAGCCGGCCACTGGCTGTGTCACAGAGCCTCCAATTCATCTCAAGTCCCCTCCTTAGCCTGCTGGGTTGCCAGGCATCCAGGGAGCAAGGGGCCATGGGGTGGGGGTGGGGGGCACAGTGCATAGGGCGCTGGGGACACGCCACCATCAGGCACTGGCCTCTGGGTGTCGGTGAGCCCTCTAACCAGCCCCAGCTGCATGGAGCCAGCTCCAGAGCCTCCATCCCCAGGGTCACCCAGCCCGTGGTGTCCACAGGGTGGGCCAGCCTTCCTGCTCTCTGACTCTCAGGCCAGGGCTTTGGGCTCCCTATCCCAGGACCCCCATCACCTGCCTGGACACGGTGCTGAACTGGAGCACAAGACCACACAGCCCACCCTTCCTCCAGGGCCCCAGCCAGAGGGGTCGGGCCACACAGAACCACAGGCCTCAGTGGTCATAACAGAGGCCTGAGGGTAGGCCAGGGCCAGCTGGGCAGCTTCCTGGGAGCTGGGGCTGGGGCTTGGGTTTGTGGTTGAGATTAGGTGGGGTTGGAGTTAGATTAGGTTGGGTTGGGGTGATTGGGCCAGGGAGGGGACCTTGGAGGGACTTCCCTGGTCTTGTCTCCAGGTGATTTGGCGTGGGGAGATGGGGTGTCAGGAGTGACCCCCGCTCCACACCTCTGTTAATGCCTGCGCCTCCGCCTCTCACAGGTCTGGGGTCTCCACGCCACGTCCCACCCACCGCCCTCAGCAGGGAGCAGGGAAACAGAAGCACAAGCACACACGGCCCAAGTCTGAGATCTGTGCTTTATTGGGGACCAGAGGGGCCGGGACCTGGGGAAGGAAGGACCCCAGGCCGGGGGCCGCGGCGCCACGTGCATGTCCAGGTCTCGCGTGCTCACCACGGGTAGGTGCGGTCCTGCCTGCGGAAGACAGGAGAGAAACCGGGTCTGGAGGTGGCCAGGGCTCCCGGGCCAATGGCGCGGGGCAAGGAGCGTTTACCAGACCTTCCCGGACGACGCCAGTCCACGGCGCCGTCTTCGCCGTCCGCAGGGGACAGCAGGCTTGCAAGCGCTGCCTCCGGGCCCGCGCGCTTTCCGTACCTGTCGGGGAGCTGCAGGTTAGGCTCGGGAGCCCGGGGGCGTGGCCAGACCCGCGGGGAGGGGCGTGGCTCCGGGGCGTGTGGGCGTGGCCGGCTCCTCCGGGGCGGGGCCTAAGGGCCGCGCCCAGCCGCGGGGGGCGCTAGGGGCGAGCGGGAACCCCTTGGCGCTCACCGCTGCCGCGTGACCAGGTTGAGGTAGTGGCGCAGCGAGGCGTAGTAGCGGCTCAGCTCCTCGGGCGAGGCGTCTCCGCCCGGGGCCTCGGGTTTGGCGGGGTAGGCGTCGACCAGCGCCCCCAGGCCCGCGAGCAGGGCCAGCAGCACTGAGGCCACGGCGGGCCCGCGCACCGGCTCCATCTGGGGGTCACGGGGCGCGCGCCGGCCCAGCCTCAGTTTCCCCACTTGTCCGCCCTGAGCCCCGCCCCGGCCCCGCCGCATGCCCGGAGGGAGAGGGAGTCCGCCACCGCTGCTCCCACCCCGCTTCTTGCCCTCGGTCGCCCAGGCCGGCCTCAGTTTCCCCACTCACAACCACAGCGCCGGGGAGAGAGGAGCAGGGCCGAGAGCAGGCGGGTTGAGGCTGCACGCCGCCGGCTCCGCTTGTCCCCAGGGCAGCCTGGCCCGGCCGCTTATATCCCTCCCGGCGGCGAGGGCGGGGCGGCTCCTCCCCTCCGCGAGCCCACGCGCCGCCCGCCCGGGACGACCGACGTGCTGTCGCAACGCTCCGCCCGTGCACGGACCCCAAACTCGGGCCGCAGCCCTGCACGGGCGAGGCGAGGCGAGGCGAGGCCCTGGGCACAGGCCCGTCCCCGGCCTCGGGTCGTGTGGCTCCTGTCCTGGGCCGCGCGGGACCTGGGCTGGCATCTTGTCTTGGCGCGCTGAGAGTTAGGGAGCCCCAGAAGCCCCGTGTGGTTCACGGCCACCACCCGGCCGTCCCGCAGAGCGCCTCGCTCGGTCATTCGGGCCGTAGGAGTGAGTGATGCCAAGGTGGCAGGCGCATGCCGCTGTCCCTGCCCACTCCAGCCTCCCCCGAGGTGCGGCCCAGGTGTTTTCTGGGCACGCGGTGCACTCCAGCAGGGCAGCGGCACATGGCTGCGAGCTCAGCTTACCCCGAGCTTGCTGATCGGGAGGGCATGCTCCCTGGGGCCGCAGCCCAGCCAGAGTCCCCTGCCCCCTGCACATGAGAAAGATGGACCTGTCCGCCACAGGTCAGAGGAGACGCTGTCACCTCGGGGCTTGGGAGCACTGGGACCAAGGCTGAGAGGCTAGGAGGAGGAGAATTGGAGGCTGTGAGGGAGTCCCTGCCCTCCTGCCTGGCCTGAGCCCGACGCCAGAGCCAGGGGCTTGTCCCAACCACCCTTGGGACAGATGGCTGTAGGTGCTATTTTTAGAGCTCTCCAGGCCTCGTGATGGACTTTTTATGGGTTCAGTCACCTGCACCCTCCGGAACTGGCCCTGGGCAACCTAGGAAATGCTGGCGCCCTAGCTGGATGGAAGGCCACCAGGCGAGGTGACAGGAACCCACCCTCCGGGACAGAAGAGCATTCTCTGAGGGTTCCAGGTCTGGGGAGCGAGGGGCTGCAAGGAGAGGCAGGCTGCCTTTTGGGGTCCTGGGGCTGGGGTGAGGACCCAACCGTAACCATGGGAGCCCCACCTAAGGGAGGAAGTGCTGTCCCTCCTTGGGGAACCCATCTCTGGAGGTCCCAAGTCAGACACAGGGAGAAGAGCTGTGTCCAGACTGGAGAGGAGGCAGCAGAAGTGATGTCACTCCAGCCTGGAGAACACAGGCCAGGGAGACTCAGGCTTTGACATGCTGGTGGCAGGGTGTGGGGCAGGTGAGGGAGGACAGCTCTGAGTGCAGACGTCCTGGGTTCAAATCCCAGCACTGCAAGTAAACATAGGCGAGCCCCTGTGAAGGGGGTGAGGCAAGGGTAAGGTCCTCCTTTGATCCTACAGCACCAGCCAGGGGTCCAGGGGTGACCCAAGCAAGGGAGGTGCAGGAACCAGGAAGCCTGCACCCCCGAGTTCTTGGGTCCCTGCAGCCCCCGAGGGTCGCGCTGCAGGAAGGAGCCTCCCGTCAGCCTCTCCTTTGCTCCACATCGGCCCATCCAGCACCGCCTCCTCTTGGTGCACTCGTTTGCCTGTGGGCCATGGATTGATGTTTCCACCACATCCCCATGCCCAGCGCTGGCCCTGCTGCCGCATCCCTCACAGAAGTACCTGGGCAGGGGCCGCTCGGCCAGCACAGACTCTGCCAACAGCTGTGCTGTCCAGCCTGAGAGCCTCGGCAAGAGCAGTCACTCCATCCAGGTGTATATATAGAACTTATTTGGTACAGCGTCTTGCTACACAGCTCAGACTTGTAGTGCTCCTCCTATCTCAGCCTCCCCAGGGCTGGGATTATAAGCATGTGCCACCACAACTGGTTTTAGTGACCAGCTTGGCGCCCATGCCAGCATGGCATGTGGTACCAGGGATGGAATCCAGACCCTTGTGCTTGCTGAGCTATCTCCCCGGGCCCCCTTGTCCATTCTCGGAGCACCAACAGGGCTGCCCAGGGCAGGGAGGCTAAGGACCCGAGCCTGGGGACTGGAGTCTGCTCAACATGGCCCCACACTATTCATGGTCCCAACTCAGGCACCTGCTCTGCTTCCCCCAGGCTTCCATTCCATGTCAGGCCCTGAGAAGCCAGCCATGTTGTCCACCCTTGTTCCCGGCCACCACGATGCCACAGCAGGTGACTCTTCCTCACTCAGGAAGCATGAGTTGAGCCAGGCACTGTGGCACACACTGGTCATCCCAGCTGCTTTGGAAGCTGAGGTAGGAAGATGGAAAGTTCAAGCCCAGCTGGAGCAAGAACCAAGGCTCTGTCACCAAAGGGGGCTGGGGCGTGGCTCAGCATCACGGTGCTCGCCTGGCACGTGGGAGGCCTTGGGTTCAGGCCCTGCTACCACGCGCAGAAAACACTTGTCAAGCTTTGCCTTGTGCCAGGTTCTGGTGTAGGCACGGGAGTAGAATAAACGGGCAGAAATCTCTGTTTGTTTCTAGCAAAGCAGAAGCTCCGGTGTCTGACGGCTGCAGCTGTAGGAAGAATTGCAGGAAGGGGTCGGTGCCGAGGTGGGGCCCCGCTACGCACAGCGCGACAGGGTTGGACTGACCCGAGTGGTGGCCTCGAGGACAAAGCGGCTCCCTCGGAGGGAGGCAGCCCGAGCCTCACCTGCATCAGGGGCCAGCAGGAGCCCAAGTGGATGGGGAGGGCTGCAGAGGGGGTGGCCAGGTCCAGAGGATGCTGATCCCGGGTGAGGAGTGCGGGCCCCAGCCTCGGCAGGAGAGAGGAGACAGGTGTCGGGACGGGACCTGCAGGCACGGAGGGGTGGCAGGCGTTGTCCACTCCACACTGGGCCAGCGTTGCCCACCGTCTGGAGGTGGCCTCAAGAGCCGTGCAGGGAAGGGGCTCATGCTTGGGTCAGATGCCTGTACGAGAGTCTGCCCTTGCCCAACCCACGGAGCACCCGCCCGCGACACAGGCCTGCCTCGCGCCTCTGCGTGATTCCCTCGGAGCCTTCCTTTCTCTTGGCAGCAGCATCCGCTATGTGTTTGATCATCTCTGCTAGAGGCCCTCAGGAAGCAGGACTTCAGTGCTGCTTCAGAAAGTGTCAGAATGAAGGGAGGAGCGTGTTGGAAGGGGTGGGTGGATGCTCGGCCGCGCATCTTTGCTGAAATAAGGGGTTTTCTTTCATCTATGGGTTTGGTGCAGGGTCTCACTGCGCAGCTGTGACTCATAGTGGTCCTCCCGCTTTCAGCCCTCTCAGGGCTGGGATTACAGGCGTGTGCCAGCGCGCCCGGACTCAGTCTCGGGCTCAGTGCACCCCATGGGTGTGGCCGGCGTGGCAGGGGGGACCCAGGTGGAATAAGTTTTGAAGAGGGGGGGGTGTGTGTGGTGTGCAGCGTCTCACTGCGCAGCTCAGACTTCTAGCGATGCTTCTGTTTCCGGCCTCCCGAGTGCTGGAATTTCAGGCCTGCACCACCACTCCCATGCTCCATCACCAGCTCAGTGCACCCGGGGCAGGGCTGGCGGGGCGTGCAGGGCCAGGAATGGCTCCCTGGCCCTGCGTTTACCTAAGCAAGCTCTTAGTCCCATGAGCTAGATCTCTGGCCCTGGGTTGACTTTTTTTAAGGGACTCTTTTTTTTTTTAATTTTTAAAATGCATTTAGTACAGGTTCTACAGGATCTCATTACACAGATCTGACTCATAGGGATCCTCCTGTTTTCAGCCTCCCAAGCTCTGGGATTACAGGCAGGCACCACCAGGCCCAATCTCAGTCACCTCTCAGCACAACCTGGGGGTGGGGCCAGCACAGCACACCAGGGATCAAACCCAGTCCCTGTGTCAGCCTAAGCAGTGCTTTAATCCGCTTTGTTGTCTGGTCAGCCCCATGAGTTTTAAATTTAACTTAAAGGTTCATGATATTCGCCTCGGCCCTGCACATGCACACAAGTACCCAAACGTGCAGAATGCCACAGGTCTGGAGATGGCCACTTTTATGACTGCTTGCTTTGTTCTTTTCATTTTTAAAAAAATTACTTATTTATGTATTTATTTGGTACAGGGTCTCCCTACATAGCTCGGACTCACAATGATCCTCCTGTCCAGCCTCACCAGAGCCGGGTTTACAGGCATGTGCCACCATGCCCAGTTCTGGGGCCAGCACGTGGCACCAGGAATCGAACCTGGATCCTTGTGTTTGCCAGGCATGTGCTTAGACCGCTGAGGTATCTCTCCAGCCCTCTTTTCATTTTTTAATTGAGTTTTTCAAGACTGGTCAGGTACCCAAGCATGTTTGTACCCACACAAGGGCTTTGCTGGTACATTGTGTGCATTTGCTGGCGGTGGGTGCCGGAGATTGAACTCCGAACTGTGCTATTTCCGCAGTCTGTGGATGGGTGTACATATTACGGTAGTAAGTTAGCGCGTCCTCAGCTGTCACTCATATGACAGCAGCTGTGTGCTGTGCATACCCCACTCCAGACCCCACCAGCCCATCCTAGAGAGCTACTGCTTCAGCCTGCATGTACCCGCAACTGGGCTGCTGGGGTGGAAACGCAAGTCCTACAGGATGTGGGTGCTGGGCAGCAACAGGGGTGAGCCATGTGGGATGCCAAGCCTCACAGCCCTGGGTCTGTGACGCTGGAGTCTGCGGTGGCTCCAAGCACACGCTAGGGTCCTGGGGCCGCCACTGAGTCAGTTGCTGAATGATCGAGTGGAGGCAGAAACCCTGCTGTGTTTGCTTCCACAGTGTGCTGCTCCCTGGAGGGATGGTGGCCCGGGTGTGTTCTGCAGGGACTCGGGGGCGGAAGCGAGTCTGCCACATGCGGCTTGGTCCACTGGCCACATGGCCCTGCAACCCCCCCCCCGTGCCAGGCCACGTGGCCCCAGGGAAATTCCTCAGGACGGTCTGTGCAGTTTGGGTCACAGTCCTGTGTGGGGCTCTGGTGGGGTTGGACTGCTTCCGAGTGCTGGTCACCTCGCAGGGACTCGTCTGTGGCCAGCATCCCCACCGCTGGCATCCTGATCACTCGCCCTCTGTGGTCACCCCGTCACCCAAGCTGCTAGCGTCTGGCCAGCAGCACCAGGAGTTCCTGCTGTCACTGCCCCTCTGTCCTGCCCAGACATGGGCCCGTTGCTGCCCTATGCCACTTCGTCCTCCATGCCCAGCACTCCCTGTCCCCTCTGCCTGTGGCATCCCCAGGGACCCTGTCACCCATCACAGAGTCACAGGGCCACCAAGCTGGTGACACCTCCCTCCCCTGCAGCCCAGCTCCCGCCTGTGGGCACCAGCAGTGGGCGCAGAGGAGAGCACACTGTCCCCTCTGTGGCTCCAAATGCAAGGCCAACACAGCAAGGTGACATGTGCTGTGCTGCGCTTGACTGCGGCCTGACTGAGCACACGGAGGCCAAGGGTACAACGTGACAACCTAACACATATGCACACGGACGCAGCCAGCCCCTGGCATCACTGGCATAGCCCTGTCCCATCTGAAGGACGTCACCCTGAGTGAAACAGCAGCTCTCTCACTGGCTCCTCCACCCTGCGTTGCCGCCCTGGACCTGGGAGGCCAGGGACTGCACCCCAACACCAGACACCAAGAGCCAAACCCACCTCTCCCGAGCCCTGAGTCTGGCATCTTGTTCCAGGGACAGGACAGCAGGAAAAGGACCAACAGGAGCCCTGTCTCACAGGGAAGACTGAGGCGCAGAGGCAAAGTCAGAGCAGCTCTGATCTGTTTCCTCCTAATTCTCTGAGCCCACCACCACGAGTTGGATTCCTTGGCTCTGCTCCACGCTTCGAGGCCCAGAGGGCT